GCTCCATAGATACAGTCTGCATTCCATTTCTCAAGTACTTTTGATCTTCTTTGCAAACTTTTCCATCAGTCCAGAAAAACATTATTCAAAGAAGTATAGGTGAGTGGGAAGCAAACCAAAATTTCCAAAGGAAATTAAGATGAATTTGGAAGAGGAGGAAATGTTTATATATGTAGATATGGACAAGTCACAGTAAATAACACCTGGCCATGCATAAAGTGCCGAATTTGACGCCACTGCAATCACCCCAATTGGTCACTTACAAGTGTCCTCTCTTTTGGGTCCACAAAGAGCTGGTAGAAATTGCACAGAAATTAATTCAAATTAAAGAAAGGAACAGTTTTGAATTAGAATTCCATGTAAGTATGGTGTATGTGAAATCATCATTTTATAATCCAAGTCTTAAATTAGTGTTCTCAGATACCATACACACAGATGAACACATAACTGGGTCACTGAACTCTGTGATTCTCGAACTCTGAGAGTTGTTAGAAAAGCACTAGCAACTGGAAAAGAAACTAAGGATCAAATGTTCCACAGCTCAGCCAGAATTTCCTCCTTTGTCTAGAGTTTTAGAACCAGGGAACATCATTAGTTGAAGATGGTGGGGGTGGTGGTCGTCGTGGTCATAGTAACAGAACTGACACATCTACAGCATGGTACTGCTTGCCAGGCACTCATTTAAGCATGGCACGTATAGTGATTCTTCCTCCTCACAAGCGCCCTATGAAATAGAGTCCTCATTTTATGAATGAGGAAATTGAAGCACAGAGCAGTTAAGGAACTTGCTTGATTAGCTAGAGAAGAGTGGGAAATCTGAACCCAGAACCATGCGTGCTCTTCAACATGCTATTGCACTACCTGCCTTTTATACTACAGACATTGTGGAAATGGACTCCCTCCCTCCTAAAGGAGACAAAATATGCTGAGTAGTCCAACAGAGTTTAACACATTTCCTGTCTTGTTTTGTCTTCAAGTAAAATTTTTCTAAATTAAATTTAAAAACTGGTATGGCTATGAGAGGTCTACAGCTGGTAGAACTTTCCATAAAAGGTGGAAAAAGGATATTGTAGACCAAGAACAAATAAAACCAGAGTCTTTATCCTGGAAATCTAAAAGTAAAATCAGGGCCAAATTCTTTCTGATGAGTTACATTCAAACAATGTCTCCAGTGCTCAAGTAATAAAGCAAATTTCCCTGAGACTGCATGATCGATGCTGTTCTAGAAACAGAAAATCAAGTTTCAAAACAATCTCCATTCTACAAATTCCCAACTCTCTCCTCCCCTCTTCTTTTTCTCAGAATTGTTTTTATGAGGTTTTGTTTTTGAAGATTTATTTTCCCATATGTATATAGAGGCCCTAATCAGATTTTAATGTTCTCAGGTGATAACCCAGTTAGCGGCCAGAACAATTCAGCATAATTCAGCAACACAAGACTAACAGGAAGCGGGTGCTTCTCTGGGGTGATTCAGCAACAGCCTTTGAAAAGCGGGCTCAGCAACTCACCTTAGGTTTAAATGCAATGACTTTCAAAACCATCTCGACGGTGAAGACCCCAGTGAAGACCATGTTCAGGATGTCCATGGCATCATTAAACATCTTGGACTGCTCATAGTGCTGTGGATGAAGACACACGCGCCATTCTCAGAGGCCCATTCCAAAATCCACAAAATGAGGCCCCCAGCCCTCTACTCCCCGCAGGTCCACCCCTTACTTGGACATACAGGAAATCTCCACTGTCCAGCACCCTCTCCCACCCAGTGACTCCACTGGCACTGCATTTGAGGTCATAGGCCTCCCCACCGAGTGCAGGGGGCCTTGACAAGTGTGACTGGAAGATGAAGGGGAAAGACATCCATTTCCTCTGCTCAGGATAAAACGAACCCGCCCTTTCTTCTAGCAGGATTGGTATTCAGGGCCTTGACCCAGGCACAATGCAGAACCCACCCAAATGTCTATGAATAAAGGTAGGATTTGGTTAGGGATGAACTTTATGCCATTTAGTTCTACGTTCAGTAAAAGGCAGTATCATCTTGACTTCACCCTTTTCCCTACATCAGCATATGGTCTTTCTCATGCATAAACAATTCTTAAATGTAAGGAAAGTGCCAGAACATGTATCCTTGGCTGTCTTCAGACCCATTTTCCAGACAGCACTGGGAGTTGGTTTGATTTGCTCAAGTTCTTAAAGTCAGTGTGAAAACTGAATCTAGACCTTGGTCTTTGCTTGTTGTCTCAGTGCAACTCAATTACATAACTGCTGGAAAGGCTCACTGTTAATACTGTTAATTACAGTGTTAATTATGTTATGTTACATTATGTTATATTACGTTATGTTACCTTACATTATAAATAACGGTGTTAAGACCATTAACACTGCAATCCTACTTGGCCAACAGAAGTGAGCTGCACTCCTTGCCTCCAGTGTGAAAAAGGAATAGCTGTAATGCAGGTCAACCTCAGTCCTCCATGAACTGGAAGATTCCCCACTACCATACCGAGAGCTCCCTGAGGACAGGAATGTGACTCACATGTTGTTTTCAACATTGGGTGTTTACTCTGTGACCAGCCGAGAAGAAAGTGCCTGACGTGACTTATCCAGCATAAACTTTATTTCTGAGGCAGGTCTGAGAGACTTCCCATTTTATGAATACAGAAAACAGCCTCGGGGGATTTAAATAACTTTCCCAAGGTCGCCAGCTGGTAAGGAGTAAAGTCACGGTTGAAACCCCTTTCTGTCCAACTCTACACAGACAGAGTTCTAGCCCTCGAGCACTCGCTGGCCACAGCAGGCCCACAGTGAAGGTTCATAGAACTGAGCGCCACACTTAGGCTCCATGGAAATGTTTCCTATGGTCACGCTGTACAGACAGTCTCGTAATCAAAAGAGTGATCTTAAACGCCTACCGTGACAACTGTTAGCCAAGAATGGGACGCTGGCCAAACTACAGCTCAGGCTCATAAGAAAATCAAGCCCATCCTCTTGTGAAGGGGTGGTCCTCCACCCTCAGAATTTGGGGCATGGGACTGTACAGGGGCCCAGACATGATCCCCATCTCCACGTGCCTCCATTTTTACCTGCATGGCCAAGCAGAGTGTGTTGAGCATGATGAGGACAAACATCATGTATTCGAAAGGAGAGGAGTTCACCACGTACCAGAACTTGTACTGGTAGGGGTTTTTGGGGATGTATCTCCGCAAGGGACGTGCTTTCAAGGCGTATTCAACACACTGACGCTGCAATGGTAGAAAAGAGCAACAAGGGGTCCTGAGCACGTCTACGGAAGGAAGACGCAGTTCTTACCTGCTCTTAAAGAGCCGACGCAGCACCTGCTGGGGAGAGCGGGGGTAGCCAGGACGATCAGGAAAACTACTGGACAACCCCAATGGACACCACTCTGCATCACTGACAAAGGGCCCCTAGCCCCGTCACCTCTTCTGATCCCCCAGTCTGTTTCCATTTTCCTCGTTACGAAGCTGAGTTCAGAGCTGTGAACTGCCCGCCTGAGGTCCGACAGTACACAAGCAGAGACAAAAGGCCTTACCCCAAGTTTATTCCTGCCTTTCCTCTATGCTGCTGGATTACATCTGTACTGCCCAGGCTGTCCTCCAGGGAAGGAAACCATGTCATGAGAGGCACAGAAATCCTCAAGAACCAGGGGGGCTGGGCTCACTGCCCAAGACTGGAGCCCCCTGGCTGCTCCAGTGGGGCCCTCACAAGCCACCTCTCAGCAGCCGGCATGTGTTAACTCTAAGTGTCTAATGGTGAGCTAGCTATGTGTCTATCTGGGAGCTTTTGAAACTCGGGAGTTTGTTGTGTTCTCTGACCTCTGGGTCAGTAATGATAGCCAGAGCACTGCCCTTCACTCTGGGGCTGAGACTGTTCCACCCTTTGCAGGAAGAGCAGAGGGAGCCTCTAGCCCCGAGAGCTCAGCACCAGGCCTTGCTTGCTCCTAGGCCCAGACCTACCCCCATTCTTCTGCCTGGACTCTGGGTTCTGACCTCAGACAGGTTCTTTCTGTCTAGGAGCTGGTCCTGCTGTGACCTCACACACGGACTTCAGGGACCCCTGATGCGAGCCTGTTCTGGACCTCATGGAGGACACAAGTTAAGCTCTGGTGCTGCCTGGCTGGCCCAGGCTTTGTCCTGACACTCTTCTTCCTTGGTGGGGGTGCAGAGCTGGGCCAGGCCTCCCTCTGACCGTCAATGGTGGAATCTGAAGGGATTCCCTGACAACTCAAAGCAACATCTTCCTACAAACCAAGCCAGGGGTGCCCTCATTTCCCCCCCCCCCCCAAACGGGTATGGCTGCAGCCCAAGACAGACAGCCTCACCACAGCCACTTCCCCCAGGAAGCCCTGGCTGGCAGATGACTCTTGCTCACTCTGTCATCATCAAAAAGATGCTACCGATAGAGGGCCTGCAGGAAACTCCCAGAGCAGAATCTCGATCTCACAATCTTTTAAGGCTGAAAGAGATCTCTAAAAGCAACTTCTCAATGCCCTCAATTTAGAGATAAGGGAACAAGCCCAGAGAGGAGCAGAGACACACCCATAGTCACAGAGCAGGTGCAGGTCGAACGGGACCAGACACAGGTCTCTTGGCTCCCTCACACCATCACACAATCAGAACCAAAGCCCCTGCTTCCATCAGGTTGGTTGAAACAAGATGCTAGATAAAAAGAGACTGATGCCAGTGCAATCTCAGTCCTAAATTTAAAGTTAGTGACTTTCCCTGTGGTGTGATAGTGTACTTCTTCCTAAGTCAGCAGTCATTTGGCAATGACTGGAGATGTTTTCAGTTGTCACCAAAAACGAGTTGAGGTGGGGGTAAAGGGGAGTGCTACTGGAATCTAGTGAGTAGAGGCCAGGGATGCTGCTAAAAATCCTACAAAACACCAGAAGAATTACCCAGGCTAAAACATCAACAGTGCTGAGGTTGAGGAGATAAAAAACCATCTGTCATTAGCAACTCTGGGAGCTTTACTGGGTGCCTTCTGGCCCTTGGGCACACCACTCTACAAGATTCTGAGCTGTCACTAATGGATCACGACCACAGAAGGTAGCCCAAGCACCTCTCTGACTTCTCACCCACAGGTCTGGGGGTGGATTCCACAATTACAAAGTCAAATCTGTATCTGGGGACCTAACTTTCAACAGTGATGACTCAAACTGGCCACGGGTGTGCTCTGAGTAGGGCCGAAGCCCCAGGCCAGACACAGGTGGCGCCCTTCTCTGTGCATGGGGAAACCATCAAAAGCAAAGTCATTCCTCTCCTGCTTGAGGGACGGAAGCCCAAACAGTGTGTGACTTTAACCTGATTTTTGTCCAGCTCACAGTTCTTATACTCTTTCTCTCCCTGCTCCTGGAAGGTGACAATGACGAAACCCACGAAGATGTTCATCATGAAGAAAGCGACGATGATGATGTAGATGATGAAGAAGATGGAGATCTCCACGCGGTAGTTGTAGATAGGGCCAACATTCTCTCCATTTGAGTCGATGGCTTTGTACAGCAACCTGGAGAGCAGAAGGACCGAGTGAGCACTGCCCATGCCTCTCAGCCCAGGCAGCTCAGCCCCACTGCCTGCCCGGCATGTCCCTCTTCTGAATGCCACCGTGGGCACTGACTGTCAGACCTCTGACTAGAGCCCCATCCACGACCCCTGGACACAGCAGGGCTACAGGTAGCCCAGACCTAGGTGGGGGACAACTAGGATATATTCGTTGATGGATGTCTAGACAACTGAAAAAAAACCAAAATATTTCACAAATATTCAACAACAGACAGAAAAGGGGAAAAAAGGCTCATGTTAGACACTGGAAGAACTGAAAACTATACACAATGACAAAGACAACAGCAGGCAAGCAGGGACTTCCAAAGAACTCAGAGAGCTTCCCCAAACTGAAATATGCCCTGAAATTAAATGTATGCCCAGCGAAACAGGAAGAGGAGAAATTACTGTAAAACCCCCACATGAAATTCACCCTCATTCTGATGCAGATTCATCACTTCCAAGGCACCCACACCCTGCATGCACTGTGCTATGCCCTTTCACATCCATCTGGAAAGGCAGACGTCACTGTCATCCCCAGAGAGGGATTTAAGTGCCTCAGGTCACCCTCCTTGGGGCCAGAGCCAGGACTTGAGTCCAGCTCCTCTGAGCTCCAAGTCTCAAATTTGTTCATTTCCCCTCGGCTGCCACCCTGATTTGATAACGCAGTGTTCAAAACCTGAGACTCAAAACTTCTGTAGGAGTGAAGGGTCTTACTCCATGCCTCTTCCCCCCAGACCAATTCCCTAATAAACAAGCCCCACCCAGCCATCCTTTACCCCACAGGAACTCCTGTAAAGATCTACAGCTCTCCCATGCATCCAGAGGGTTCCGCCAGCTTGAGGAGGCCAGCCTATCCACCTTTTACAGATCCTCTGGGCATGGGAACTTGACATTCAGGACTCGGTCTAAGTATATGTGCTCTGGTGGCAGGAGCTGGAGGTGGGTGGGGCACCAGAACACAGAGAGTAACAAAAGTACAAGAGAGCCTCCTTTTGTATTCTACCTCCTTCCTGCTTTCTGTTTTTCTTACTTGACCCAGCAAAATCCTAGCCATTCTTCAGGATCCTATTCTGCACATCTCTGACACACCACACCCTCCCCCCTGGTTTCACTGCCTGGCGCTCTAATTGGATTTGGGCTCTGAAGGGAGGAAGCAAGTCGAGACAACTGGTTCTTCCACAGTGCCTAACATAGCATGTTGCAGGGAGCTGGTATCGAAAGCACATTTTATGAATGAGCAAGTCAGTGCATCAGTGAAAGACATGGCACAATAACAGCCGCCGTGCCTGGATTATATTAGTACTAGGAACAAGTGGAGGGAGGGAGGGAGGGATGGTTGGTTTGGGACACTATCAAGACCCCCTTTAGTGTAATGGCAGCTTTAGTGACATGGCTACCAATGGGAGTTGGCATGACAAATGGATCTAAGGACTCCCCGTTCCCATCCAGAAATGCTTCCCAGAGGCATCTCAGAACCCCCTGCCTGGGATCTATGACATCCCTGCTTCCCAAATCCAAGAGTCCTGTCAGCTGGCCGCAAAGGTTAATCACTTGCCTAATCAGACAGAGGAGCCCTGCGGGCCAAGAAGTGGCCCAAAGTTTAAAAGTCATAGGAAAAGCCTGACTCTGTGAAGAAAAAAAGCACGCCTCATTCCAGGAGAGATAGCTCAGCCTACAGTGCCCCAAAGCAAGGAGGAGCCTCCCTGAAGACGTCCAACCTCTATACTTACTCAGGCCAGCCCTCAAAAGTGGAGACCGTGAAAAGCGCCATCATAGCAGAGAGGACATTGTCAAAGTTGAAATCGCTGTTTTGCCAGACCCTCTCACGGACCACAGGGTTATCAACATCCCCATCCTTGTAGAGGATGAAAAGCCCCCTAGAGAGGAAAAGAAATGTGGCTCATCTTGGCTTGACGTGAAACCAGTCACGGCTGCCCCAACCCCACACCTCTAGGCAGTCACGCTCAAGCCAAGTCACAGAGCTGAGCACTGCACAGTCTGTGTTTCTCTTTTTCTTACCATGCATTTAATCTACTCTCCAGTTCAAATAACCATTGAGTAACTACTAGTTTAGGGAGTATTCTCCAGAGCAACTAGGCAGACGCCCGGCATATGCCTGATAACAAATGAAAACTACCAAATAATAAACATCTCTCATATACAATGGGCTCAAAGTATACATTGAAGAATCAAACACTGGCTGTGGAGAATTCCAGAAGTTCTGGGAAACAAGCCAAGGTATCCTCTTATCTGCATTTTAGTTTTAATCAATTTCCTTCTCTTTATAGTAACAATATTCCCAGTTTTCTTTCCAGAGAATTCTGTAATTTCTGGCACATAATATTTCTCATAGAATTTCGTTTTCGGAAGGAGTCCAATGTCTTTATTTCACAGGTGAGGAAGCAGAGGCTTAAAGACGGCAGGGGAGGTGTCTTCACACTGCTACTGTGCTGCTCAACTCCAGGGGGCGCCCTCCACTCCACAGCCCACCTGAATGGTGCCCGTGGCAGTGCAGAGCCACAGCCACATTGCAGTTGTGCTCTATGACCACACCTTTTGCTGAAAAGAAACCCCAAATGAAAATAAGCAGTGACATAAGCAGACCTCATTGACATCTCAAACAGATGGGGAAACACGGACTTCTGCAGAGCCCTTCTGCAGTCTTAGAACTGTAGGCAATGGTTTCCGGGTCTGCCTTCACGTTCTTCTGGACAGCTTGGGATAAGAGGCATGAGTATTTCCCAGCTTCTCTCTCCTCTGCCCGTTCTTGTGAATGGAAATATGGCCAAAATGTGGGTGTCGGGAGCCAGAGGAGAGAAGCAGCCTAGAAACCTATCAGAAGAAGGTAGCCAGCACCTGAACACAGGGAGCTGAGGTTCGAGCTCCGGTTTGGGGAAAAATCATCCACGTGGCTGTAGGGTGAGCTTTCTGGGGCATTTCATCATTGTTATTTTAGGTTTTAGTGGGGTTTTCTTTCCCTCCAGTTTACAGATTCTCTCCCAAACATCAAAAGCCACATATCTATTCCTTGGGCGTGATGAAAAGCTTTGGAACTATTGGCTTGTTGGAAAAGTCATGACATATTTTTTCTTTTTTTTGTTGCAAAAATGCATCATGACTTTTCCAACAGCCCAATAGATAGAGGTGGTGTTTGCCCCCAACCCATGGCTGTACTAAATGCCACTGAATTGTGCAGTTTAAAATGGTTAATTTTATGTTATATGACTTTCACCTCAAATGAAACAAGAACAAAAACCCTCCATGTCTCCAGCCGTGAGCTGAGCACACGGGCCTCTTGTGGTCTGTGATGAGACTTCTGAAATGCCAGCCCAAGTGAATCCTTGCGGTCTTCTATTTGCTCTTCCAAACTCCCCACTCCTGTGTTCAGGACACTCACCTGCATTCTTCAGGGTTACTTTTGGCTTCATCCGTGCAGCGGTAGAACTTGCCCTGGATACAAAACAGACAGGCAGTCAAAGGCGGGCTTCCCCCGGAAAAGATCAGCTGGGCCTCGTGCTCCCAGGCACGTCCCTGTACCTTGAACAACTGGACCCCGATGCAGGCAAACATGAACTGGAGAAGGGTGGTGACGATCATGATGTTGCCAATTGTCCGGATGGCCACAAAGACGCACTGGACGACGTGCTGGGGAGAGGGCAGCAGGGAGAGGATGGAGGGTTATTACTTGCCTTTGTTGTCTTAGCCACAGAGAGAGCTAAAGCCAGCCAAGATTTTCTTCGTTTATTTCTATATGATTTTCCAAATTTGTGGTGCTGTTTTTCAGGTAGTTATCTGCAGAACATTACCCCCTAGTGCCTCATGGCTGTCTGGGAGGGGTACCCTGTAAATGGGCCCCTCCGTGGTTTCCTCCAAAGCAATTAGTTTAGTCAGAAGAAATGCCACAGGATGCAGCACTGCCTGGCACCCCATTAAAGGACTTAGGAAAATGCAAACCATCTGGCCTTTTATATAACCTGCATGAGAATGGGTTTAAAAACTAAAATAAATGCTACTAATAATGAAAATAGTGATAAATCAACAGTAATCACATAAAGAAAATACCTTAAATGAATAAAAATAAAGAAAATGATAATAGTTAAAAATGCTATCAGCACTTGGCAGAGGCAGATAGGTAGAAAATAGGTAGAAATGTGTTTTCCAAACATACAACCCACTTTAAAATCCATCAGGCCTCAGTCCGGCTCTGGCCTAGGAAAGTCAGTGACTACTGCTAACCCCACCAAAGCAAGCCCAGCCCGGGGGAGAGAAGCCCAAACCTTAAGTCCTTTTGCTCTGTTGATTGCCCTGAGCGGCCTCAGGACCCTTAAGACCCTTAGAATCTTCACAACAGAGATGGCACTGGATCTAAGGAAAAGAGCAGAGGGGAGGAAGAAAGCAGAGGGTCTTACAGCTGGATAAAATACTTTTAAGGTTATTTCATTTGGCTCTCCCTTTATTACCACTACACAATGTGGTGGGACCCATGTGAGCTGAGCTAACCTCTCCCCAGGATTCACAGACGCATGGGTCTTCTCCTTCCAGGCCACACCCATGGCACCTCCTATGCCAGGCCCATGGGCACTCACTTAGGTGCACAGCTATCTTTGGCAGAGACACGATTTAGGAATTGACTTTGTTCTTTCCACTTGATGTATATACTAGGTAGACTTGGCTTTTAGGGTTCAGTTTCACTTGTTTGGCTTTGTTTTCTAAATTTGGAGCCCTGCTGCAGTGCTTTGGTGCTGGGCTTCTCTGGCCTTCAATGAGTTCACTGTTTGGCAAGCAATCACAACTCTGTGTGGCAGGTATGACATGAGAGGTGATGCAGCCTGGGGAGCCTCGGAAGGCCCCCCACCCCCAGAGAGGTGATCTCCAGCTGAGTCTGCGGGGAGTGGGGGTTAGCTAGACAAAGGGGGAAGGGGCTGCAGGCCCAGGGGTGGCAGGCAGGCAGGTCCTGGATGAGGGAGCAGCTCATTTAGCATGGCAGGTGGCTGGGTGTGGCTGCAACACATGCTTGGAGGCAGCGTGCAAGGGCTGCAGCTGGAGGGTCAGGCGCAGCTGGGAGTTTATAGGAGTTGCAAAGATACTGATGAGAATGTCCTTCCAAGCTGTGGCCACATGGCTATCCCCGCCGGGTGGGTGGGAGGTGAGGAGGACTACTACTGCAGAGGGCTGTTTCAGGCAGCAGTTCTTGGTCTCCTGAGGGGCACAGAGCCTCTCCATTCACCTTTAGCTCAGAGGTGTGCACGCATGCTCTCAAATAGGGGCTACTGATGGTCAGCACCTGAGCAGTGGTATTTTATAGGTCAGCAGGAAAGCAAGGCCACCCCTGCACACTCCCATCGGAGCCTCAGATCCCTGGGTACAGCAGGCAGGCAGGGTGCAGCCTGAGCTATTCCCCACCAGAAATCCCTAAATGTCATGGAAAGGAATCTAGGGCACTGACGTGTTGTCTAAGCTCCCTCCCAGATGAAAAGTGGAAAGGCCAAAAGAAAGGGGTCATAGAGCTGGTATATCCTGGTGATCAAGGGAAGCCTTCACTGTCTAAGCTGGAAGGGACCCCAGAGGCCACCTGGTCCTACCCGCTCCTGTACAGGTGGGGAACTGGCCCTGGGAAAGGATTCCCTCAAGGCCCTGGGGCCAGCCCCTGGAGGAAGCCATACTAGAGCCTGGCTTCTCTCACCCTGTTGAAAGCAAATATCACAGAAAGTAATAAGCCCAACCTAGCAGCAGGCATAAAAAGAGAGAGAAACACAAGAATGCTTTAATTATCCTAGTGCTTTCTGGCATGGGCATAAATGAAGCTTTTCCAGATGAACTAAATGTAATCATTAAAATGATGTCTAGTCTTTATGAATTATGTAAAATTCCTCATGTAAACCATCCTGCCCGACAGTCCTGTGTGTACACACACCCACACCCCAGAGTACTTACTGGATCCCAAATGACACCAGAGACACCCCGACAACCAGCATATCCAGCAGATTGAAGTAGTTCCTGCAGAAGGCCCCTTTGTGGAGGAAAGCTCCAAAAGTTGTCATCTATAAGCAGAATCAAGGGTGCATTTACAGTTATTTCTCTCCAGGGGAAAAGAAACCTGGGCTCTTTACAAAATCTAGAAAACTATGACTACTAATAAGTGTGTTAGGAAACCAGAAATGTAAACCAACAGGGCTGAGCAGCTGAATAATTTGCTCAAAAATGGAAAAAGGGCAGCTGATTTCAGGCACATTTTAAAAGAAGAGAACAGTTTAGACTTTATTACAATGACAACAAATTTCAAATATGAATACATCGTTGGCATGCCCACAGAGCCTGTTTCAGGAGAGAGTCCACATGACCATGCTTGTCAGGCAAAAACTGCTGCCCAGACAACTTGGCTTCCCCTTAAAATGCTGGCTCTGGCCCCTCTGAGACCCCAGGAGAGCCTGCATTGTCCCAATCTGGGGGACTAGAAAAAGTGCTGGAGCTGGCCTAGGATGCCGACAGGCTCTGTCTCAATAGAAACTGGCATTTTCCTGGGTAGGCTCCTTACTGCTCCGAATAGTCCTTAGCGATACATCCATTTTAAACAACTCCTCCAAGTTCAGTTACCCTAGTACATGCGAGGTGTGGGTAGGAAGTTGTCACATGCATCTGTTTCACCTAAGTCAGGCTCACTGCTCTCTAGTCACATGCCATGTGTACTCGGAGCCCACACTGTGGGTGCTCTCGAGACGATGGAAAAGGAGTTTAATGAGGAATTTCCCCAGAGTAAAAACAGCAAAATATACAAAATTTACTGTTTACATGAAAGAAAATAAGTGGAGGAAGGCTCAGATAAGTACAGGAGAGGAGAGGCAGAGCTGGGAACTAATAAATTATATCATATGAAATTGCCAATACTCAACCTTTTTTGACCTACATAAATGGCAACTTTACATGTACCGAACCAAAAAGCCTTCCAAATCTTCCCAGGGCCCCCAGGAACCACCATTTCAGATGTCCCATGCTTTTTGGTGAATCTCCATTTCCTGAATCCTCTTGTTTTAGCTTATTTTCCACTTTCTAAAATCCTTTCAAAATGAAGAAGGACTTGGAAGGTTAAGTCACTGAAGCAAATATACAGAAATTGAAAAGCAATAATGTTTTTCTTTTAAATAAACCTGTATCTTATTTGCTCCAAAGCCTGAAAGTAACTATTCAACTAAAACGTGGAAAGTAAAATAAAACCTCAATTAACCAGGTGAACAGATTAAGGAGAACATTTCCCCCATTCAGTTTGAGAAAGCGAAGGCAAATCACACACACACACACACAAAAGCAGCTTGGGATCAAGCAGAGGCTGGGTATCTGTCCTTGCACCCCACGCCCAGTGTTTTTTGCATCTGTGCTCCTCACCATGGAGACGGTTGTTAGAATCTGCTCACTGACCCCCACACAGGTCTGACGTAGGACAGAACTGTCAATCAAATTCACTTGCTTAACGGAAGGAAAATGAACTCAGATTTTTAGAAGATTTTTAACAAATGTTTAAACAGAGGTTGGATGGTTAGCTGGTGTTATGCTAATATTTTCATTTCATCATAATCATCAAAAGAAAAGAAATACGCCACTCCCTAGCAATGTTAACTGAGGTTTCATTTTATAGAAGATTTTGTAAAGAGCCCAAGATCCACAATAGCTTAACACAAAATACATTTGTTTCCTGAGGTGCACACACAAAAAACTCAAAAACGGTTTAAAGAAAATTATGGTTAAAAGTCCTCCTTTCCCAGCTGATCTCCCCATGAGGAGATGGTTGCTCTTATAGTTGTTCACAGGCCATGCAGTCCAGTACTACAATACCCCACACCATTTAGCAAGTATGGGGGGTTCTCGGCTCTCTGCTGTTGGTCTCCAGACCTCTGGGTACATAAGGAATGAGTTCACCCCAGAGTGGCCTTCACCTTCATCATCAGTACACAAACTGCAGGCAGAAACGGTCCCTGTTAGCTCACGCATGGGCAATACATTTAGGGTGTCCTGTTAAAGAATGTTCCTTTTGTTTGTGTAAATGTAAGCCCATTCATTAAAACCGATATAAAATATTTTAACACAAATAGATCCAAGTTATCTTGAAAATCCTGTTGCCAAGGAAATAGTGTGTTACCCTTTTAGGCTACTGAAACATAATTTACTCAAAGAAACGAGAAGAGATACATTCCCTTCATAGGATAAATGCTTTTCCCCTGACTTTGTTGTCAGGAAGGGTGGAAGAAAGTTCATACAGTGACGTATCTGTTATCAGTTGACGTATTTCAGAGGATATATAAAGAAAAGCAGAACAATTTCCAATCACTATTATGAAGCCAAAGTAGCTCCTACATGCATCAAAGGTTAAAAAGAAACAGCAAAAACAAATTGAACAGTTTCAAAGGATACAAAAAATCCTTTGGTTTAAAAAAAAAAAAACAGCGTAAGCTTGATCACAGAAAACAAAAAATAAAAACAGACAAAAGTACTTCACACTGCTTTGCTGTGTGTCAGACGCAGGACCACAGCATAACCTGTTAACCTTCAAACCGATCTGAAATGCAAAAGCACCAGTGAAGACATAATCTGCATGACCTAGTGTCTGGAAGGTAAACAAAGAATTGCAACTATTATTTTGCTACAGCTGCATTAGAGTATGTGAGGATCAATGAAAAAGCCATTACCTTTAACAGGATTTCAACAGTAAAGATGGCTGTGAACACATAGTCAAAGTAACCCAGGATCTGAAAGGTACAACAATGAAATGAGAAAACGCATCCGGACAAACCTCCAAAGCCACATGCCCATGGGTTGAACCCCCACATGCAGTCAGAGACCCATTCTCCCAGGATTAGCCTGCCACCCTGGAGGAAAGTGCAGAGATGCTGATAAATGCCCCACCTGGTCCAATGACAGCTCATCTTTATGACCAACAAAGAGCACTTGGAAATACTTACCTGCTTGAGCCAGTCATGCTGACTCTTCCCAGTCTCATGTCTTAGACAGAGACTCATTTCTAAAGTGCTTTATTAATAGCCTTTTCTCATCAGAGTATCACACTGACAAATTACTTGTGGCACCAGATAAATTAGTCTTATACACATTTTGAATTTTTAACTGCATTTTTGGCTGAATGAAATATGCGGCCATCCAGCTGAACTTCAGAGTGGTGGAGAAATGTAAATAATGATGTAAGTGCCATTAAACGGGGCCAGAAGCTTTCACGTCCTTTCTAATTCCAGCCCATGTGATCAGGGAGTAATCACCTTTGCCCCGTTAATGTGTGGGGCTGGATAAGTCCTTAAGGAAGACTTTCACTTAATCATCTTGCTCTATATCTAACACCGTGCACTCCCAAATCTGTTTTTTCTTTCTTTCTTCTTCTTCTTTTTTTTTTTTTAAACCTTACTGGGCCCACCCAAAGAACAGACTGACCTGGCCTTTGAATTATCAGAACAGGCTACTTTGTCAGTATTCCTGAAAATACTGTCTACGCTCCAACTGAGTTCTGCTCAGCCCTTCTGGGGTCTCTGCCTCTTCTTAGAGCCATCGAGGCACGAGGGCCAGCAGCAAGAAGCCTGACCACCACTCAACCAAGGCTGCCCACAGGGACCCTCAACCACAAAACTGGCAGCCGAGACTGCCAACAGAAGAGGCCATCTTGGCTGCTTATTGTCATGACAACTGTGCTTTATAATTTGAAAGAACTGAAGAGATCAGAGCTGAAGGGACATCAGAGACCACCAGGCCAACTCATTTCATTAGCAGATGAGAAGACGCTGGGAAAGGGTTAGGGGGCACCCACTCAGGTCACAGAGCCAGTCATGGCACCGCTGAGCAAGGCGCTAGGCCGTGGAATGCTGGTCGCGAGCTGGGCCTTGCTGTTTAAGTATGGGGTCCATCCCAGGGGTCCTTCACTGCTCTACTACAACAAGGTAAAGCACTCTGCTTCGAAGGTCAGCTCTCCTCAGCTGTTCCCTCTTCAGAAGGTTTTCATTATCCAGACTGTTTCCATGTTTGGAATTATAAATTTTGCTGGAAACTTTCTGTGTATCTGTTCTTCTGGCCAGGCAATACAAGATATCTCCAGTACACTACAGGCCTCTGCCCCATCTCATTTCCTCCATAGTCACAGCAGGACGGGTACTGTTCAAAGTACCTGGGTGGCCAAAAAACACTCTGCTAACAAGCCAACAGCTCAACCTGGCCCGGGGGTCAAAGCTCTTAGATTCAAGTTGTTTTTTTCCCTCACTCAGCCTCTATTCTGTTTTTCACCAATAACCCAGCTAAGGCTAAAATAAAAAATAATGATAAAAATAAATAAAAAGCGCAGAAGAACACACTGCATTATTCCAGTGGCATGAGGTATCTAAAGTAGTCAAACTCATAGACGTGAAGGGGAATGGAAGTGGTTACAGGCTGACGGAGGGGGAAATGGGGAGTTGCTCAACGGATGTAAAGTTTCAGTCACACCAGATAAATAAGTTCTGGAGATCTGCTGTACAACATGGTGCCTATCATTACGAATACTGTCTTGTACACATAAAAATTCGTTAAGAAGGTAGACAGATCTCATGTTAAGTGTTCTTACCACAATTTAAAAGAATCTGTAATATTTTAAAAACAATACACAGATTTAAAAAACAACAATAACATTCTTGGGAAAAGTAGCAAGGAAATAAACTCATGGGGAAGTAATTACAATAAAAAATAAGAATATGAAGCCCCGATGTAAATTAACTCCTTGTCAGTCGGTGTTCTGGACTAGCTCCTGACCTAGTCTATCACGTAACGATGTGTTTTTCCATACAGCTTTTTCCCTTGTGTCTCATTTTTATGATGGAACTCAATGACTGACACTCGTCTTTGTTCCATTTTAAAGTTTAGATAGGGACAGCCTCAGAAGCTCTAACGAACACCCTAATCTGTGAGTATAAAGACAGGCTCAGGGCTTTCATCTTTACATCAACACCAACATGTGCCTTGAGGAAAAGTTCTTTTTATCTTCATGTCAGAGCGTGTGTTTTATCAATCTGATTGATAGGTTGGGTTTGCCAAGCTTCAAACCAAGAGACGGGAAATGGAAAGACACAGCAAGAGGCTTGGCTGTCACAACCAAAATCCTGGGGCACTGATCTGGTGATTTGTCTTAACCCTCAAAATCTCTGAAAATCTCATCTATAGAGAGAGGTGCCAACCAGGCAAGGCAGCATCGCCTGGTGGCCTCACACACTTGTAGGCCTCCTGCTCCTGGGAGGGTTTCTAAATTATCATCGGAAACTTACTACATCAAGGCCAGAGACACAACAGGCTATGTCTTATGAAGCTGTCTCACTTTGGGTTGTTTTCAGTGTTAAGACAGCTGGCCTGCTAAGATGGAACTGCTTAGGCAAGAACTAATCCAGGTACCACTTCTGTCCGGCAGAGATGCAGTGAAAGGGTGCTATCCCTAAGTTATAAAACTGACTAAAAATAGAAAACTTAACTCTCTATGTGTTTTCTTCATAAAACCACCTCCTGCAATACCAAAACACAGTTCTTCCTTTCCACGGAACCACTCAACCTCAAATCCCATCACCTCCCTGGCTTGTATGTCTCCTCAGTAATGGAGCCAAGCAGCTTTGTGAATTACATCCAGGTAAGATAATGTCTTCCCCTCCAACTCTAAATAAGAGCGCCCGGGCAGGTAACACACCTGGATTCAATTTTACGTTCTCTACTGCTGGATGCTTCCCGCTAGGCAGAAATCTCAACGCAGGTGTGGATGTTAATTTGACCAAGGAGGAAAAAGGGACCAAATTATTGGCAGCAAGGAATGGAGGGGTCCCTGAATACACTATAAGTTACTGCAGAGTATTTAAAATGAAGTTTAAGATACATGATTCAATAAAGGGTTGTCCCGATAAAACAAATCCCCTCTGGTACTTATAAACCTGAAACATAAAATGCTGACAGGTGAAGGAGAGGCCTGCTCTAGCTTTAAGCCTGTTGGACCTTTGTCAGCCCTGCCTGGATGACAGCAGAGGCCAGCACTGACCCTAAAGGGAGTCCCACCCTCATGTCCCCGTGCAGTGGCTTACAGTGTTCCGGAAGGAGTGGCTGCGGATGGGGTCCTCGGCTGCGAGGGAGGCACTGCTCAGCATGATGAAGACGAGGATAAGGTTGGTGAAGATGTGGTGGTTGATGAGCTTGTGGCAGCCCACGCGGATCCTGTGAGAAAAGCCACTACATGGACACAGCCCCAGGCAGGGCCCGAGCAGATGGGCCAGTGCCTTCAGCACGCTGGGGCTACTCTGTGGTGACAGGTCAGGTAGAGGACAGCTAACGGCTGTGCCACCCATGCCCCACCCAACAAGCCAAAATCACCCGACCATTAGTGCCTCAAAACCCTCAGACTGCACACCCTGCGAGCCCTCGGTGCCACAGCTCTGTGTGGGTGCACCATGGACCATTCATGGAGTCTTTAAATGTGGGGATTATCCTTCTAACGGTGGGGAAACTGAGGCTGAAGGATGTGAAAGAACATTCTTAAGATGACACAGCTAGCAAGGACCAGAGGCAGATTTCCCATGCAGGTGTGACTACGACGTTTCCCCACTGTAACATGAAGCCCAGTGCTTACTTTTCCTGCCTAGAAGGGAGATTGTGGCTGAAGCTCATCGCAGAAGCTCACAAAGAATGAGAGCTATTCCTTTCTTGTACTGAAGTTGGGCTATTAAAATATGGCTGTAGTAAGTAAGGCTTGGTGCATCTCCTGTTATGTGGAGATTCTGTCTCAAGTGCTATTTTTGGGGAGGGGGGAGTTGACCCACAATGAGCATGCCTGAGAAGGTGAACTGAGAGTTACATCGCCATGCAAGAATTTCACAAGGATCTTACTGTACCATGTGACAGGACCATCACAGAGTCCTGCGATCCTGGGAAGCCAGGCAGGGCAGCACATGTCCAGCTCCTGCAGTCCCAGCCCTCATGACGGCTCCGTGAGCCATCAGAGCCTCTCCTGCTTCCCCTGATGTCCCAGGGGCTAGTTAATGCCTGCTACCCTTAACCACAATATTTGACCTTAGAATTTAAAGATGGGGGAGGGGGGAGGATTTACACAATATGTGTAGGTTTTCCTTTGAAAAGATTTTTTCACTTTTAAAAGTGAAGTCAACGTTTTTAGAAAGGTGACCCCTTGTTTCAAATCCTCCCTTTTGGGGCTGCTTAAGGCTGTGATATGCCCTCTCAAAGCTGTTAGCAACTGAGTCTGGGGAAGGCCTTCCAGGACTGTGAAGGCCAGTAGAGCTCACAGCTGTGTGTGTGTTGGGGGACGGAAATCAATCCATTCCTTCCATATATGTAGACACAGTGAGCTATAGGTATCAGTAACGTTGGTTGACTATAACTTTTTTTTAAAGGGACACCAAAACTCTCAACACTGATGAGCTATAAAAACCATCCTCCAATCTTCAAGTCTCTAAGGACTGCAGCATGCCTTGCTTCCCACCTGTGTCTCCCTAGGGCCTGTGAATTATACAGAGTTCTTCTCTGACAGCCAAGAACTACTTCTCCAAGTCTAGAAACCTTCCCAGAAGTCGTTTATTCCCTCTGGCATTTCACTCAATCCCAGATGATTTAAAACCTAGAAACCAGCTAGTAAATAAGTGTCTTCCTCTTACAGCACTTGTGAGTAATCACCACGCTCCAGGTGAGCAACTTATCATTTTAACATGAGAAACTCTATTTTAAGCAGGACATCATGGAGCTGAACTGAAGAGCTCAACCTATGAAATATCATTGAGCAAAGCTATTTCTTGCCATAAAACTCAATAGGGGAAACTGATCAATTAAATTAGACCTCAGAATGAAGATGCTGAACAGAAGCTGGCTGCAAAATTCCCCCCCCCCAAGCATCTTAACTAAGACCCAGTCATGAAGAAAGGGTCCTCTGGATAGAATAGACTTCACAGGCGACAACCCATGGGACACCAGAGCCGTGGGCTCTGACCGCACAGCAGTTATTTCACCCCTGCTGACCCCAGTGCATGCGTTAAGGGTAAAGAGAATCTTGAATGGCACTCCTCCCAGGACCTGGCCTCACCCCTACAGCCCCTTGATCCAGGAACAGGAAGGCCAAGAAATGATGAATGGAGGACAAGGGCAAGGCTGGAGCAGGGGACAAGTTGGGGGGACTGGGGAGCCCCTGGCGCTCAGGTGCAGGAAGGGGCTGTGAGTCACCTTCCCTCGCTCCATTCTCAGGCACCCTCAAGTAACCGGGAGGGTCATATCACAGCGAGTTGCAGCAGTGAAGTGACTAGAAAGGGGGGTATTTACGGGTTGGTCTTGCTAAGAATGAAGAAAGCGCTCCCTTCAGGAATGGGGACGATTTTCTCTTTCATGTTCAACTCGGAGATTCTGCGAGGACGGGGGCCAGCAGGAACCTCAGGTTCATCCTCCTCCTCCTCCTCCTCCTCCTCTTCCTCTTCACCTACTTTAAACAAGACATTTTTTTTATAGGCATGAAACAAAGACCACATTTGGGTTTGAATTAGTCTCAATGTCACATGAAAATTTACCTTAAACTTCAACATCTATCAGCTTACATTAATCAAAACCCTTTAGAACATGGACTGAGGGTGTGTGGTGGGGCAGGGGGATGAGAAGCTTGCCTGTTGGGTGAATGTGTAGAGTGGTGGAATGAAGTCCCCAGCAGCAGAAGATCTGAGCACAAGTCAAAGGTGGCAGCAGTGTGTTCCCACTGCCATCCAAGTAACCTCCTTGCTCAGCTTCAGCCTGCAAAACTGTGTGGGACTTCACATCACACACGATCAGTCTCCCATGTTCCTCTAACTCCACAGTCCCTTTGACATCTGCCATTCAAGACACCTGGTCAAATGTGAAAGTGTCAGGGGACTAGTAATAACCAGTCACCTCCTAGAGAGATCTCCCAGCAAAGGCTGGGCTTGTCCTGGTCCACCTACACTTTCTCTCCCCACCACCTGGAATTTGGGTTATGTAAGCTGCCTGTGACTGAGAGAAAAAACAGAGGTAAGTAGTCCACAAGGACACTGGACCCATGGCCTTGATCTCAGCAGCCCAGCGTGTGACCCAGCTAGGCTAGCCAGCCAGACTCAGCCGCTGATCAGAGTGGTAGCAAAGCCCAATCGCTCATGAGCTGAGAGTCTGTCTCTGGCCTTTGCCACCATACCTGGCACATCACAAGGTGGGTAGGGGTCCTTGTCCTCATCCTCTTCTTGGTAGTCATCGATTGTAACCTAGGATGACAGAGAGGTCTTGGGAGGAGGACAGACTCTGACTTAAGTCACGTCAGAGGGCCACAGGGAAGACTCAACCCTGCCAGTCAGCACGGGGCAGAGAGGTTCTCTTCACAGTGGTACTGTATGTGAGTGAGCGTGTAGGGGCAGCAGATGCCCCGATGATGGTTCTGCTGGAGACCACAGGTCTGAGGGCAGATGAGGAGAAAACTGGTGTGACTTCAGCCCAGCCATGTTAGCTAGCACCATCCATACGTCTTCCTGTCCTAGCACGGTCACACCCCTGTGTGATAACTGCAGTGTAGATTCTGGCCTTCCTGCTAGACAGTGAGCCTCATGCAGGTAGGGACCATCTTGGTCTCGTTTATTTCTGACCCCCAGTATCAGACACACAGTAACCACGCAAAAAGTTATCTACTGGCTCAGTGAACAAACGAATGAAAAACCCAGAGGTGTCCTATGTGGGATGCCAGTACAGCCCTGAGCACACAGCCCCAATCCTGAGACCCCTCTGGGGACAGACACCTGTTAACAAGCCTTGGTGTTGATCCCCACTGAGAAGACACTAATACAGATCAGGTCTGACCACACAAGTCCAATAAAGAAAAACTGGTCAGACTGTCAAATATTGAACATCCTGGTTCTCTGGTAAAATATGGGCTCGCAACCAGTTAAATGCCTAAATTCACTCAGAATCCCCTGGGAAACCAACATCTATAATGGTGTGTTATCAAACACACCAAACTATCACACAGGACACTTTCCTTGTGTAAATGGTACATTTATGGTGGTATCAACAGAATCATTTTGACACAAAAAGGGGAGAAGTGTTTCAGAACATATACCTTGTTGTCACTGTTGGCTATCTGATTGACTTCCGGTTTGTTGTTCTTTTTATTTTCCAGGCTTTCTTTTCTATAGAGGAGAGAACAGAACACAAGAAACCAAGTAACTATATTGCTGGGAATAAAAACACTAATCTGGATTCTGAATCAACGGTGACCCCACGAAGGACAGAATTTAATTGGAAACAACCCTAGCGCAACCCACACTCTGGGCCTTCCATTCATTCAGTGCACTGGATTCGTTTCATGGATCATCTTATTAAAATGCTCATTCAACAGCTAATCAGCATTGGATGCATCATTTATTTTATGATGCCAAAATTAACCACAGTGATTCTTTAAGCATGGGGACATGTGATGCCCACTCTCAGCTCTGCGGGAATGAGAGCCAAGGACCTGGGTTCTGCCCCAGATTCCATCCTTTTGGGTTGGCCCCACGTGGCCACCCACGATCGCCACAAAGTAGCAACATGGGGGCCGCAGCTGCTGTGGAGTCCGAGTGGCTCCACCAGGCCTCCCCTGCAGCTGGCTCCCCAGGCAGCCCCCTGAGCAAACACCTCAGGTGAAAGTGGGGTTACCTGGCAATCTTTTTCCTTTCCTTTTCTTCGGCTTCCTCTTTCTGAGCAGTATTCAAACTTTCAGCATCAGCCAAATTGTCTACAGCGATGGCCAAGAAGACATTCAGTAGAATATCTAATTTGAACATTTTAAGGGTACAACACCTTTCTAATGCACATAAGGTCAACAAAGCAACATCACACCCCTTTGCATCCTGGGAGGCTGGTAACAGGTGACTGCCCCCTAGTGCTCTATTCACTTGGTAAAGCCAGAGGACAAGAGCCCTGTTTTTTTTTTGTTTTTTAAACTAGAAACCTGGAGAAGACAGTGTGGAAAGAAGCAAAATTAAGATTCAACCAAACCCATGAAAACCTACAAATGGCAACATTTCCTTTCATGTGTGTGCATATGTGTGCACTGCACATGCACATGTGTACATGTGTCTCTACACACCTAGGTATCTATAGCTATGATACACATTCCATAAAACAACTGTAAATATAAACGGTGCTTTTACACATTTTGCATTTCCTTTTATGCATTTTGTTTTCTTTCATTTAAAACACACATACCCATAACGTGTATATTCAGGGCATGCTTGCCAAAATGGACCCCTGTAAAGGCTACGCATTATTCAAATGATGACTCCATTGTACAGTCTGAAATGGCCTTCGGAGTGTGCACATACCTCATTCCTCCATTTGCTCCACAAACACTGACTGACTACAGCATGCCTGACTTACTCCCAAATGGTGCTGGACTATTCTTTTGCATAGTCCCACTGTGGCTAAATCTTTGATGACTGTGGTTGAATTTTACTTTTTCAAATAGTAAAAAGTTAGGTGATTGAACAAGTTATTAGGTTTTTGTCTTTTACTATAATGTTGTATGTGTGGTTTCCATGAATTATTAAAAAAAAATTCTAAACAAGCTTCCCAAATCAGACGATGCCTGCTCCTTATTATCTGACAGTTAAGTACATTTTTGAGAAGCACAGGAATCAGTGGGCAGGAAGTCAAGATGGCTCCCTTCTCTCATGCGTCTCTCCGGCTGATGCACAGCTGTCTGCATGCATGACTGCAGGAGCCCCAGGACCTTAGACAGGAGTAGCACACCACCTTCCCACATGCCCTGTGCAATCTGAAATCTCAGGTGGGTTGCTGAACATGTAAACAAACATAACCTACCGAGGGACTGATGATGAGATAGCTTCCAGGGGATTTCACACTTGACTAAGCTATTCAAGTTTTTAAAGAGGACAGAAACGTGAGTGAATTACATTAAGACTTTCAAAACACCTCCGATGTGCTAGACTATTTTCTAAACAGAGTCTCAATGAGCCTAGGCAGTATTCATATGTTTGTACAACTGGTCTTCCACCAAACATTTATTGAGGGCCTCCGTATGCCAGGTCTTGTGCTAGGCAGGGAGGACAGAGATAAAGCAGACACAACCAAAGGTTATGGGCTCATGAGAGTTCTGATGAGCCTGAGAATAAAGAGAGACCTGAATTTTCAAGTCTAGGATTAGAGAATACCTCTTGGTAGAGAAAAGGAATAAACAAGCGGGAGAGAAGTTACACAGCATGATACAACTAGCCAAAGCATATATGACCTTCAAAGATATACTGATCAGCAAAGCAAAATTAGGCTCAGGGGAGCTTAGGTCAATCCACTGAAGATGGCTCCCCATTGGTTATGAAGGGTCTTAAGAAGACATAAATGTGCCCCTAACCTTCCAAGGATGATGCCATGAAGAACAACCTGGCTTTGCCCTAAGCTATCCCATGGACATGCACAGGAGATGTGACACCAAGCTGGGTGACCACGCAGCCCATGCATTGTCTCAGGCTCCCTCCCCTCCTCCTGCTTGTATTCCTCAAACCTTAATGGGGGCTCTGCCTGTATTATGCTGTCCCCAGAAACAGTGAAGGAGAGCAGATAAAACAAGGTAAGGACATTCACTTCCCCACCACGACGGCTACCACGACGGTGATGGGAAATTCAGAGAGGGAGAAACAAAACAAGACAATGAAAACAACAAAGACTTGGTCAGCTTAAAGGATACAGTTACCACAAATGAAGAGGATGATGAAGTAGATGCAGACGATCATTCCCGAAGAGGACGGGCCCCCGTATGCCATAATGCCATCATACATCACAGCATTCCAGTCTTCACCTGTCAGAATCTAAGAAGCCAAAACTTGAATCGGCCTGCAGGTGGACCCACAATCCCCAGTGGTTCTTAAGCGCTCCTTGGTGGTTCCTAAATCTGGTTTAAGCTGCCTCTCACAGTCCAGTTTGCACTTAACAAAACCATCTGTTACCCCGTAGAGTTTTCAAAACATTATTTTTCATTACACAAATAGATGAGTTAATTCTCCTAGTGAAAACAGAGTAACATTACACATAAGACTTATGTGCTTTTGGATGACACCCCAGCCCAGATTTAGTCCCCTCCCCAGAGAGCACATGATTGGTGTGTCTCTCTCTAGGACCTCTGTATGTGGATTTAAACGCATACATACACATGCAGAGAAAATAGGCAGTTGGTTTCTCTGATTTCATTAGACATAAAGAGTATCATACTATATGAATTTTCTGCAATTTGCTTTTTTTCTCTCAACAACATACTCTGGAGACCCTCTTTTAAACTGCTACCTAGTATTCCACATAGTTACTCAACTATGGAAATGGAGAATTATACCTATGAATTTTTAGAAGGAGGAAGGAAATTCTAAATATCTTATGTAAATGTACAAATTACCTCATGGGTAGATACTAATAACTCCCTAAAATTTCATATATAATCTTCTCTGCTGATGATGCTCAGTCCATCATGAAATAGAATCAGATGAACATGCACAACAATTTAAAAACAAACTACCATCCAGAGACAGAGAGTGAGAGAGAGCATGCTCCTTCATCTCCTATCAGGACCAGGTACTTTAAAAATTAAAACTGCCACGGATCACAACCGAACAGAAAAAATGGACAAATGACTTGAAATGATAAAGTAATTCACAGAAAAGGCACTATAAATGGCTCTTAGTGACATGAAAAGACATTCAGGTTCACTCCTAATAAAAGAAATACGAATTAAAACTACAACAAGATGCCATTTTCACCTATCAGACAGGCAACAATCAAAAAGTTTGAACACCCGCTGTGGTGAAAAGGAGTGAGGCGATGGGCAGTCTCCACACCCCACCACGGGAGGATGAATTAACACAACCTCAAGGAGAATACTTGGGCAACAGCATTAGTAAATGGACGCACACCCTTTAAACCAGCAGTTCCTTTTTGGGGAATTTATCAGATAGATCTACTCTCACACATGTGCCCCATGGTGTATGTTCAAGGTCACCCACCGAGGCAAGACTAGACGCAATGAAATATTCATCAGCAGGGGGCTGGCTCCATGAATTATGGCACATCCACACCACAAACTTCAGACAGCATTGAAAAGGAGGGGGCAACCTTTTATGGACGAGTAAGGACAGTTCTTAAGGACATGTTAAGTGATAAAATAGCAAGATGGAAAACAGCATGTAGAATGAGCTACCAGCTGTGTAAATTCATCTGCAGCCAGGGAGGTAGGTTGATTTACATCTGAGCAAATAAATCTCAAAGAATACACAAAAAGCTATTTAAAGGTAGTTGCCTCCTAAAAGGGGGATTGGTGGGTGGGTGGGAGAATTTTCTACTTTATATCCTTTAGTAACGTTTGAATTTTGTATTACAAAACTCACCACCACCACACAGGTTTTTCTGACAGAAGTAAGAAAAATGAATGACTAATCTCTGGCCCAAAATTAAGTATAATTCAAAAAATTATAGCAGTAGCCTATAGCAGTGACAAAAATTCCATTCACCTCAAAATGACCAAGTGGGAAAGAATCTTTGAGATCATTCCCTCTAGTCTCTTATTATTATTATTATTATTATTATTATTATTATTATTATTATTATTTTCCAGAAAGGAATAATGACTTTCCAAGTTCACAGAGCCGATCACTGTAAGAGCCACCATGGGACCTTGGTGCCCACTGCCCCTCCCACCAGTTCTTCCTGCCCATCCAGCAGGGCTCCAAAGCTCCCTGTCCTCAAAGGCAAAGAACAACAAGGACAGATGGGTCTTTTAAATTTATCTGTGAGGCTTTGTGGCTTCAGCTCACAACATAGGAAAATGAAGAGGGGGTTAGAACACCTCAACTTAAAGCCAGGCAGGGTGGACAGGCCACTGCTCTGAGGGCCGAGCCACCTGAGTGCCTGTCACACTGTCACTCCTTTCCCAGCCTCATCGCCCACAAAGGCCCCACATCACAGACACCCTCAGAGTGTCTCTGTCCTCCTAGTCACACCACAGGAGGGGCAGAGAGCTGTCACAACTCTTTTATCACCCTGCTTCCTCTGACTACACACCGGAACATTAGGGCTGTAGAATTCACTTCTTTGCATAAATCGTTATCGCCAGGGTTAGGAAACTTGCCTGTGATCAAAAATTAGCACAGAATCAGAAGAGGATTGTACAGCCTATCTCACAGATGCCCCAGCAACCTCACAAAATCAAACAGAAGGTTTTGGTTAATTATTATGTAGTATATCCAGTGATCTCACAAAAACATTCAATCACATCATATAGCTGGATTCAGGTGCAAAACAAATGGCTTAGATGGCACAGAATTTATCAGAGCATTATTGGGGCAGAGGTTACTAATAAAAATGGAGTCACTTTGTCTCACTGAGTTGTGGACGGACAAGAAGGCATCTGAGAACATGCTTCTCAGGGAGAGACTCGCCTCCCGGGAAGGCTCACCTGGAACACTGTTAGGAGAGCTTGAGGGAAGTTGTCAAAGGTACTCCGTTTGGTCTGCGTTTCATCAAAATTAAACTTGCCTCCAAACAGTTGCATCCCCAGCAAGGAAAAGATGATGATGAAGAGAAAAAGCAGGAGCAACAGTGAAGCGATGGACTTCATGGAGTTTAACAAGGATGCCACTAAGTTGCTCAGGGATGTCCAATGCCTATAAGTCAAGGTGAGGGTGTGAGCCCAGGATGCAAAACATCACCTGACCGGGGATGCAGCGCATCACCGCCTCCTTTCAGAAAACACCTGCAGCAAGATATACATGTCCTTACCTGGTGACTTTGAAAATTCGTAAGAGGCGCACACACCGAAACACAGAGATCCCCAAGGGAGACATGATTTCCAGCTCCACCAAGATGGTTTCCGTAATTCCACCACACACCACGAAGCAGTCAAACCGATTAAAGAGAGAGACGAAATATGCCTGGAGGCCCAAGCTGTACATTTTTACCAGCATCTCACAGGTGAACAGAGCCAGGAGGACTTTGTTGGCGATATCTGGAAAGACAAAGGGGTGCGTGTCCTTGGGGTCTCATCACGGGGGTGGCTCAGAGTCCTCTTCTCTCCTCGCGTCCCCACCCACCAGTCCCTGCTGGAAATGCCCCTTTCTTTGTCCTTGAGCCCTTATGGAAATGTGGCACTAACATGTTTGTCTGCCAGGTTCTAGCCCTACTGCTGCTAATACCTAGACATGTGACTCTGGGGAAGTTCCTCCATCTCTCTGGGCCTCAGTTTCACTAACAATAAAATGGGGAGGGGCAGCTTACCATATAATCTCTGCTGCTTTCTAGCCCTAAAAGCCTATGAATCTCCATTTAGACTATCATATTATATTTTCTGTTTCTATCAGTCACAAAAAGACCTGTTTGGTCTTGCTTACAGCACCACGATATAAGAAGCAGTTGCTTATCAAGGTCATTTCTAACAGCAGAAAATACCCCCCAGCAGGCTGGAGAGCTGGACAGAGAGCTGACTTGATGGAAGGCAGGACTTCTCAATGGCTCAAAACTGTCAAACTCAGAATGAGCTATCTGGTGACAGGCTCCCAAATCACACTGCTGGGACATCCAAGGCAGAGGGACAACCACCACTTGCCAAGAGTACTATAGGGGAAAATAAAGCTTCCTTTCGGTCAGGGCAGGGAGAAGAGATCTGAGGTCCCTTCCAGCTGGAAGATTCCTTGATCCCAGGTTGTCACAAGGTTAAGACAATGGGGTGTCCTGGCATTAATCAGCTCCCAGGTGCCTCATTCACCACACAGTACACTGAACCTCCATTCCAGGTGCACCCTGTGTTTGGACAGTTCTGCTGTCTTCTAAGTCAGTGCTCACTAGAAGTTTTCCTAAATGCTGTTACACATCGAGCAGAGCAGACTGCACTGCAGCTGGACAGCCTCAGGAACCCCTCGTTCAGAACAAAAGAAGAGAACGGTCTCTGCTTGTACCTTGAATCTGTGTCAACCAGTCAGGCTGGTTGTAGTGCTCGGAGGAAATGGTTAAGGTGTTGAGAAACACCAGGACAATAACCAGCCAGTAAAACGTGACAGACTTCACAGCAGCCCTACATCTTCTGCGACTGAATCGGTTCCAGCGACGCCAGCGTCGGCTGAAAGAGAAGCAGACGTTACTCCCTGAATGACAGATACAGCATCTGAGTGCCCAATAAACATCAGTGAGGAGCCATTTTTCTTTCTCTCTGGAGGTCTAGATTGGGGTGGGAGGTGCAGCAAGGAAACACAAGAACAAATGGCATAGAAATGATCAGACTTCATGATACAAATTATGTGGGTCTTGAAATACAACTTTTTAAAGTATTATATCGTGACTTGATCATGCTATCGGTTCCTTCCTATGGCTTTAGATAACTCCATAATCTGTCATCCACAGTCCTCAAACCAGTTAGAAAATCTAGATATTCATAGATTCATGAGCAAATGCAAAACTGAGCTATCACACATATGCAGTTCTTATCCCCACCATATGGTACACGGATCTGTTTGTGCTATTGGTGCAGAGCGCCACTTAGCTTATCGTTACATCTCTCGCAGCATCTCAATCATCATACAGAATTCATCAGGCAACAGAGTGCTCCAAAACCACAGCTTTCCTTTTAGGGAAACTTTCTGTTGTTTCTTAAATCTGGGAGATTCCTCTAGAGCCTGGCAGAGTTGTCAAGGCTGAGTAGGACATGAGTTTCCATACTGAGTCATCAGGTGCCCTTTCTAACTAGAGATGCTCAGAATACACCTTTAGGAGAAGAGCCAATATTGAATCGTGTTTTCATACAAATAAAATGAGCTGAGCCAATGTCCTCTCCTGACTTTCAGTTCCGGTTTCCAATTAGGGCAAGTGTTTTCTCCCTTAGCCTGTCTCACTGAGAACATTCCTAGCCACAGGATGGTTTGGTGAAGTGGATCCCAGGGCTGTACTCACTCACAGGTGGGGAGGGCGGGCACTTCTTCTGGGGGCCTGAGTCAGAGGACTGTCCTCTGAGCTGCAGCCCTGGCTGACTCAGCTATGCTGCTGTGCTAAAAACACCGTAACCCAGGGACTAGGCAAAGAAAGAGTTGTGCTAACTCTCCAACAAGCCCTAAAACAAGCAGGGCATACTTTGCGATTGCTCTTGCTTTGTGGTTTTCAGGGGTAACAGCAGCTGGAAACATGATAGCCAGCAAAGAAAATTTCTACAGAGGGCACTAAAGACTGTCTCCTTCCGGGCTGGATGCCTCCTGTGATGCGTCATTTCGTATGCACAAGCAAGGTGTGTACTGGTCTGAATAAGATCCAGCCTTGGTGAGTCTATTTCAGCTGCAGTAACAAGTCACAGGCATCTCCCAAATCCAGAAGGCCTTATCTGTCACATCCCTGAAATCCTGCCTTCCCCATTTTGCTCCTTACTGGGTGCTGATTGCCCAAGCGCTGGGCGCATGGAGCTAAGGAAGGCAGGGTCCCACAGCCCCTGTCCTTGTAAAGCATGTAGGGTTACCAATCATAAATCCACACCAAGTACTATTCCCAGGGCACCAGGTACAGGAGGAAAGGGAAAGGAGCTACACATACTCTTTGGAAGAGACAAGAAGTATTCGAAAAACTGTGATTTGGGCTGGCTCTCCATAATTGCGTAGGAGTTAGCCAGGGGGCAGAGGGAAGGGCACTCCACTCAGAGGAGACTGTGCGACTAAAGGGATTTAGGTGGGGAGAAACAGTGTCTGGTACATTTGCAAACTGAGAGCAGTCCAGTACAACAAACTGGGGAGTATGGGAGGGTATCAAAAGATGAGGCCAGAGGGTGAGCGGGCCACCAAATTATAAAGGAATTTATATGCCCTCTGGCAACAGGGAGTCATGGAAGAGCTTTTAATTTTATTTTAAAATCAGGTTTACCAAGATACAATTTACATACAATATAATCTACTCCTTTTAGGTATACAGTTTGAAAGGACCACCACAATCAAGATGTAGAATATTTTCATCACTCAAAGAAGTTCCGTTATGGACCGACCCCTGTTGTTAACCCTCTCTCTGCACCCTAAGACAACTACTGATCTGTTTTCTGTCTCTATTGTTTTGCTTTATCCAGAATGTCCTATAAACAGAATTATACAATATACAGCTTTTTGAGACTGGCTTCTTTTGCTTAGCAAAAATACTTCTGAGATTCATTTGTGTTGTTGCCTCTATCAGTAGTTTTTTCCTTCTTACTGCTGAGCATTATTCTATCATATGGATGGACTACATTTGTCTACCCATTCACCATTTGCTGGACATGAGTTATTCAGTTTTTGGCAGTTATAACTAAAACTGCTATAACGCTTATGTAAAAAAGTTTTTGTGCAGGCATGTATCTTCATTTCTCTTATATAAGTACCTTAGAAGTGGGATTGCTGAGTCATGTGGTAAATGTATGTTTAACTTTATAAGAAACAGCCAACTTCCTTTTAAAATGGCAGTGTCATTTGACATGCAGGAATGTATGAGAATTCCCATTGATCTGCATCCTTGTCAAAATTTGGTATTGTCAGGTTTTTTACTTTGATCCATAGGTGTAAAAACAAAATCTCTAATAGGTAGGTAGTGGTATCTCTAATTTGCATTTTCCTATGACCCATGGTCATTTCATGTGCTCATCTCCCATCCACATCTCTTTTTTGGTGACATGCTTAGTAAAATCTATTGTTCACTTTTTATTGTGATTTTTTTTATTGACATCATTTTTTTGTATGTTATTCTTTATATATACTGGATACTAGTCCTTTATCAAATATGCTTTGCAAATATTTTTTCTTCCAATCTGGAGCTTATCTTTTTATTGGGCTGTCGGAAAAGTCATGATGCATTTTTGCAATGAAAAACATAGAAAAAAGACGTCATGACTTTTTCGACAACCCGATATTTTTTTATTGAAGAGCAAGAATTTTAATTTAGATGAAGTCTTATTTATCAGTATTTTTCTGTTATAGCCAGTGCTTTGGGTGTTGTAGCCAAAAAAATCTTTGCCCAGCCAAAGGTCACAAAGATTTTTCTCCTACGTTTTCTTCTAGAATGCTTAAAGTTTTAGGTTTTACATTTAGTTCTATGTTCATTTCAAGCTAATTTTTATATATAGTGGTAAAATGTTGGTTTTAATTAAAAAGTAACATGTGCAAATGTACACAAATCATAGGTATATAGTGCAATGAGTTTTTGCCAACCGCCCACGTAACCTGCAACCAGAGCAAGAAACAGAACATCACTAGCACCTCAGGAAACCTCTTAAACCTCCTGCTTTGGAAAACTTTGAAGGAGAAAAGTGACAAGATGTATCTCTCATACAGAAATGACTCTGGGAGAAAATATAAAGGGTAGATTAGTGGCAGAAAAATTTGTTCATTGTTCCGTCTTGTTGGCTCATTTGTTTTGGGGTGAGATCTTCGGCACCTATTACACTGCTCTCCAAGACGGGTGCTCAATGTTTACTGGGCAGATTGATCTTCTATATGACTATTGCAGCCCATAGAGTAAAATTCAAGTCTAGAGCAACTCCATGTAAAATTCAGAAGCCAGAAGACAACAAACCAGCACACATACTTAAGAAAAAATAGAAGATACTAACCTGAGTTTGGATTTTGAGATGGCTTGACTGCAAGACAAAAAGAATATGATTCCTGTTAGGAGGGCATGATCATACACTCCCCCCATGACTTCAACTGAGCTATCGGAAAAGCCATGCATGGCAGCCTGGACTTGGCACACACACACACACACCCCACCCCATTCCCACAGCGGGCCAGCTGGGGTAAGAGCGGAGCAGGTGCAAGCTGCTGTTGGTACCACGCAGGCCAGGCTGAACACCCTCCAGGGCCCAGGCAAGAGAAGACTCAGCCTGATAACCTGAGCAGCCCTGGCACAGAGAGTGACACCAAGGCTGCTTCTCCCCTCACCCCACATTCCCCAAACTGAAGTCAGCGGGGCCTCCCCTGCCTACAACTCTGCCATTCATCTCAACAGCAGCATGTGCTGCTACTATAGCAAAAAGAGCACTGGACTAGGAGTCCTGGATCCGCTATTTACTAGATTTCTGAGTCTGGGTGAGCAGCACATCTTTTTGAGCCTTAGTGTTCTCATCTGTAAAAAGGGGAAGACAAACCTATTCTCTGGCTACTTCACAATGTTGTGGGGCGGGCAGAGCAAGAGAAAGGAGGCAAATACACTTTGTAAACTGTTGCGTATCCTGCCCATAACACATCATTTCTATGCACCTCTGCCAAGCAGATTGAATTATCTTAAAAACAACACCTGTACTTTGCAGAGATAAGACCTAAAAGATATCAGCAGGAAGCAAACCCAAACAAAACTGCATGCCCCCCCCTCCCCAAAGCAGGCAGTACTCTGCACATTCCACTCTGCTGATGCCCCTTGCAGCTGCAGCCCAAATCCTCTAGAAAAAAGGCCATGGGCGGGGGTTAATGTGATGGCGCCCTCCACTGTTAGGAGAGGGTGGTGCAGAGCTCCAAAGAAAAAGTGCTGTGAGCAGGGCAGGGTCCCAACATCCAGCCGCTATGCATGAGGTTGGGAGGATTCGGGAGTGAAGGGAAACTTGAATATTCTACTAGCACATTCTAGTCAGCCACTCTGCCATACAAGCTCTTCTTCAAAGCACTGACGCCAGCACCAGACTTGGAGGAGAATCGGGACTTTTACCCCCACCGCCGACACCCAGAGGACCCAGCCTTGGCCGCACCTCTTCTTTTCCACCAGCACCTAGTGGACACAGTGGAACGGCGGGTTACCTGGCACACCCTGCAGCAGGCTGCACCTCAGCAGGACGGACTGCTCTGGAGGCAGAGGCATGGGAAGTGCTCGGGGCCTAGGACAGGAGGGGGACCAAGGGGTCCAGGGTGAGCCCACCTCCCTACTTGCCCCTGAGGCTATGGCCCCAGGGCTCCACTGAAATCTGGGGCTCTTCCTCACATTTGCTTCTTTAAGACAATGGGCAAGTGGCCTCCATACTCACCAGAGGGTTCCACAGCAGCCTTGGTTCTCGCTTTCACCACTTACGTTCTCTGTGTTCACAGACTCCGTCTCGCTGGTTGGCATGCTGGCTGTGGGGAGAAGAAAACGCTTTAGATGGCGTGCTGGAAGCACTGCACGCCCAGGAGTGGGCAGGACCCAGACCTCTGCCATGAGGCAGACCCTCCGTGAACCTGAGAAGAGGTGATCAAGGGCCCTCAGGGGCTTTAGCAGCGAAAGGAAGTGCTGAGAAATCAGGCCTCTGCACCACAAGAGAGCCTCTGCATCCATGATCTGCCGAGAAAGCCTACGGAGTCCCCATCAGGAGGAAATTCTGTCCATCCACGTGTTTCCCAAGAAAAGAAGCCGAGAGACCAAACTGAACCCTGTCGCTGTGCATGGTACCAGCTAATTCTCCTGGTTTCTGGGTTTGTACTGAGAAACCTCCAAAACATCTGTTACAGCTACATGTGGCCTTGTCCCAACAGATATACTCTAGAAAATCTGTATATAGACCAATACTTCATAGACAAATACTCATTTTAAATATACTGAAAGAGAGGAGAAAGGATGGATGCAGGAGTGCATCAAGTTACCTAGCACAAGATCTTTTTAAAAATTTAAAAACTCTACTAATTTTTTACTAATTTGTCTGATGTCTAAGTTCTGTTGAGCTTGTGAAGCCAATATGTGGAAGGCTCTTACCAAAGAAGCCAGGACCAGAGCACCGAGGGATTAGAGTCTATAGGTAGGTTTCCTCCCCACCAGTGACCAGAGGGCAGAGCTGACTCTGGTCCCAGTGCCACCAGGGTCTCTGGGCACATCTCACTCCTCCACAGCAGGATCCTGAGCATGAGAACTGGAGGAAACGTCTAAATACACCTACTAGTGTTGGGAGGCCCAGAGATCCATCCAGGGCCACCATCCGGCACTTGGGTGTTTTTTCTCATCTACTTACTTCAACCCTGTCAACATCATGAGCACGTGCTGTAGACCAGGTGGTGCAGGAGGTACTGGGCACAGAGAGGGACCTGGCACTGCACCAGCCCTGGAGGACCAGTGGAAAAAGTAAGCCCCGGATGGATTTGAATTGACTGTGAAATACAGAAATACAGACCCCCTCAGGGGTCTGGGGAAGGAGTTCCAGAAACACATACTAAGGAATGGCTAATTCGGCTCTGGGGTTAGGAGAGGTCACCCAAGATCAAAACATGGGAGAATCCCCCAAACACACGCACTTCTTTTCCCTGATGCATAATTTTGAACGGCAACAACTGTTTTTATAGACCTTGTTGTGTCAACAGGAAGACCTTCCCCCATGGGCTCTGCCCAAATGGCTCCTCTGAGCAAGGAAGCCTCTGTTTCATCTGAGGTGGGTGCCTGAGCACTGTGGTGGAGATTCTGAGCGCAGCCCAGGATCAGAGGGTGAAGGAGCGGGGTCAACGCACTCCATCCGCGTATCTGCTCGTCTTGCTCTGGCGACAGATATGGTGTGAATGGCAAGGGTGGAGGGGAACCTGACTCAAAGGGTCCAGAGGTCTGAGGGGGGAGAGACAAGATCCCTTCCCTTTTGTGGGCACCCAGTGAACTGAGCCCGCCTGCGTGGGAGTCTCCAAAGCCTTGTCCGGGAACATGTAGGCAAAGGCTTCAAAGGCAAAGGAAAAAAGGAGCAGTAGTAGAGACCCCCATCACACAACTGGTAGTCTCGTGGAATAACCTTTTTCCTTAGTTAAGTCAAAAGAAACCAACTACAAACTTTGATTCACTTTTCCACCACTCCATGCAAAAACAGAAACAAAAACAAACCAAATAATAATAATAATAATAGTAATAATCCAATTACGGAAATACCTTTAAAGCTCCTTAAACAGATTATACACACGCATACACACACACACACACACACACACACACACACACACACGCTCGTGCAGTTCTCTTCCCCATGACTGTTCCATGATTTGACTCCAGCAGAAAGGCTAAAACATTATAAGATCCAATGAAGTTGATTGTTATGGGTTCTTCCAATAAGGTCACCCTTCTCTTTAGGAACAGGACAAAGAAAATCACAGTGGGAGACCCTTATAAATATGATCATGAGCCATGTCTGTGGAATATTTTTTTTTTGGTGGTTATTGCCACTACTAAGAAGACAGAAGTTGAGAGCAGCATGACACGGGGTGGGGGTGGGGGTGTCCTCAGGCCCCAGTTAGGTCCTGACTTGCACCTCTCTCCAGGCTTTAGTGTCCTGTCTGTAAAGTGGTCGTGTTAACGCCACATTCTTGAGGGTCGCTTCCATCTCTAACGGTATACTACTTCATGGTTCTAATATGAATCATATCGTAACTTTAGTTATTATTTCAGAAACAGCAAACTTCTGAATAGCCTAAATTTTCGTGGCTTTTTACTCTCTGATGTCCTATGATGATACAGCCTATGATGATATCAATACAGTTGCTATATTTCATTCTTAAGTTTCGTTTTTCAAACAATCTGATTGAAACACATTAAAGTACATACTTCCTAGGGCAAAGGGGGGGACATCATTCTGCATCTCTGGCTATGTGCCAGCTATTAGTGAATGAAATGTACTAGTTGCTCCCTAGATTAAGTGGGGGGAACATAAGAAATAAAGCCAAACTCCCCCCAAAAGCAACTAAGATATGCTAATTGTGTGGCACAGCTTCAGGGCTTCACTGATGGAGAGACAGCCTCCTGCTCTTCCAGCTGACTCTGTCCTCCAGGTGGGGGAGGACGGTGGCTAAGAACAGGCTCTCAGGTTGGCCAGGGCTACATTTAACCCCACGGTTGTGACCCAAGTTCTCCAAGGCTCCATGTTCTCCTCTGTAAAATAGGAAGTACCGACCTCTAAGGGCTCTTGTCAGAACTAAGTGAAGTGAAACACACAGTGGGTCATCGCAGAGTGGGTTACACCACAGTGGGTTACCCCGGAACGGGTCACACAATAGTGGGTTATTCCAGAGTGGGTCCACAGTGGGGCAATCAGCGAGGCTCTCATGGTAATGCCATCACCTTGGAAAAGTTCTCCTGGAGCCCCCTGGAAGCAAAGCGACACTCTCTGCATAACAGTGTTGCTCTGTCCTGACCACGCCTATTACTGCACAGAGATGTCTGGTGTGAACAGTCTTCAACACTTCTGAATCAGCTTTGGCCATCACTCTTGGTTTGTATCTCTCCTGTCCCAAACTGAGTTATTTCTGTCTAACTTGGCCTGCTGTGAGGATAGCAACTTTTCTAATTATTTGACACCTACAGAGCCACAGCCCATAATAAATAAATCTATTCCAGAATGATGTCGCCAGGGCTAAGGAGGAGGCGTGCAGGGGGCAGGGGAGGGAGAAAACAGTGACTATGCTAGAATTTGGTGACCTCATTTGGTCTCCGAAATTGACTTTGATTGATCGAGTCCCTAAATCCGAGCAGAGGAACCAGATTCTGACTGGGGCCCGGGCAGCCATCGTATCCACTCCAGCCTCTCACTCCCTGCTGCAGGACACCGTTTCCTTTTCCAAAAGTATAGAAAACATCAGGGCCAGTGGGCACAGCCACGGAGCTTGTATGTACATTAAAGCGTTTCACACTTCACTTGCACTAGGCATTCATTTTTTTTAACGTTAATAAATTGATGTGAGTTTCACTTCACTTAGCCCAATATGATCTCATGTGCACGTAACAAAAACAAGACAGGAGGATCACAGTCTGCTAGAGCTGAAAGGGACGTATGAGATTACATAAACAAACTTAGTGATTTCACAGATGAGAGCACTGACCAACTTGCCTTGGGACACACAGCTCAGACGTGGAAAAGCTCTCCGGCTTTTCACTCAGCATCGTTTCCACCGTGCCACACCACCCTGTGGTTTTGGTATATACTTGAGTATACTGGCCTACACTTAGGTATTGGTATATGTTGGCGTATACAGTGCTATTTAAAACTCCACAAATCAAAAAGTTGCAAAAGCCAAGCAAGGCTCTTATCCATCAGCACTGGTTAGCTGTCCTGATAACCTTTATTAACCCCTAGAAACCTGACATATAGCCAGGTCACTTACCGGAGATCCACCCATAAAATTCAAGCTGCTAAGTTGATTACTGAAACTTTATAAAAATCAAAACAGAATTATAAAAACCCGAGTAAGTAAACCTACAGGCAAATTATTGGAACACATGTCCTTCTCTCTAACCGGATGCCAGAGCATCATGACTGCCCCATTCAGGGTGACTCCTGTCCCCTTCAGCAGGGATTCAGTGTTAACTGCTGACTGTGACCAGGCTTCCTTAGGGAGGCACGTAGACAGCCCCACAGACCCCACCATGTCACCTGCCCACACCAGAAGCCATAAGTCCTTTTCCCTCACGCATTCCAGGGAATTTTAGAGCTTTATAGAGGAAGTTTTTGTTTTTAAAAAATGCATTAGTTTAAAAACTATTTTCAGTGAATCTGGGTGAAACCAGGCATTAGGACTAGCCTGTAGCCTACATTGCGAAGCTCACTTGTGCTGCAGTTTGCCTGACTGAACATCGAGGAAAGCTCAGGGCCTGTGTTTTGTGGCCCGTTCCAGGCACTGGGGAGAGCTCCAGGATAGACACTGAGGCTTTGAGTGTGGGCGCACTGAGAGGGGGCCCCAAGTGCTGCTGGTGGTGAGGAGATATGGCCAGACAGCAGCTTAGGTCACCCTGGACTGTAAGTGCATTTCCAGGGCCTTCCCGGGCAGCCTGGGCACTCTCTGTGGAGGGCAGATCACATTATTTCTCTTTAAGACCTTGTACAGTGCCGGGATGCCCTCATGGGCAATGCCACACAAAATAAACCAGGGAAATCCAATGTTTCTCAGGCCAGCACAACAGTAGGCATTGTCACCAATGTGTAAACATCACTCTCTCTAGCCTAACTCTGAAAGGACAACATACTGCTCAAGCAAATCGGCCAGGCTTGTGAATTCAGAGGGAAATACACATAAATACACACATACACATACACATACACACATACACACACACACACACACATACACACACGCGCGCGCGCGCGCGCGCACGCGCACACGCACACACCGTTGATGAGTCTGTG